ACCTTAAGTGCCTAACACATAGAGAATTTTTCAATAATTTAATTGCAATTACCACCTGTTTGCTTCTTCTCATGGACATGAAAATTGAGGATATGTTTTATCAAAGGAAATATTCCAAGTGAAGAAAAGAATGAAAGGTACAAGTGATTCATTTATATTTATCGTGTGACTCCAAATAAATGGCATATTTTAGTGCAGCTATTAGAGAACAAATTATAGTACATACTAATCTTTCATAGTATTCTTATAAGACTAACAAAAGAAAATGGCTAGGTTAATTAGCATCACTGCTGAGTGCCATGTAACACGAAGAAGGAAATGTATTAAACAGCATGGGATCAAATTTCTAATTTGTAGGGACAATGTAAAATAGTTAAGTCACACCACACATCACACATGGCTGATCTTCTGTATAATAGTTGTTCATTTTTACCCTGTTATTTGTGCCTATATTCTTTATTAGATACCTTGTGATACTCAAGACAACACCTGTTCACAAAGGCATTTAATGTTAAGTAAATAAACAAAAATATTTTCTTTCTCATATAAATTACTTTCATGATTTCCTAATCTCAAAACTCTAGAAAGAGGCCAGTGAGATAGCTCAGAAGACTAAAACACCTGCTTTGGCAACATGAGGCAAGCACAGGGACCATGATTCGATCCCCAGCACCATATGCCACGCCAGTCCCACAGAGTCCAGACGTGGTGGCATATGCCTGTAATCTCAGTACTGGGGAGGCTGAAAACAGGAGGATCATTATGAGTCCAAGCTGCATAGTGAGACACTGTGACAACCAAATGCATTTTAAAAAAATCTAGAAAGATCTGACATGGCTTTCTTTAAGAAATTATTGTTGCCTTGGGGCTTTTTGTTTCATTGTCTTGGAGTTTAATTTTCCAAGTAATGTTTTCTGTTGGGACTTTGCATTTCCCAGTGATGAATGTGAGCTCAGTGTACAACTGTCCTACGACTACTAGTTTCTACTGTAGTCGTCTGAACATTAGTTTCATTAAAAATAGTGATGAACTTGATGTGGCTTTCCATATCCAGCATGTGCTTAAAGCCCAAGAAAATAGTTTTGTTACTGTTTGGAAGACATTTTTTTATAGCCAACATTCTGTGTTTTTTGTTTGTTTGTTTGTTTTTTTACAACCAGGGATTGAACTTAGGCCAACATTCTGGATAGTTTTTGAAACATTGATGGAAATGTTTCCAGAAGGGCTTCTTATGAAATTTCAGGACACCAAAATGAAAAATATTGTACTTTCAGGATATAAAGTCTTGAAAATTATGTTTGAGTTAGTAGTCTGTGTATTGTCTTAAAGAAACATGTTTTGAATATTTTCTAACATAAAAGTCAGCCCATGCACCAATTGATATATGCTAAATATATAATAACAACTGTATATGGGATTTGCTTCCTTTAAAGTTATACAAAATTAAAAGTTAATTTAACTTAGTATAATTTTAGTGCATAGTTTGAAGCTGTTTCAAATATCATTTTATAATTTTTCTTAGAATTTAAAAAATACAAATCAAGTACTTACATTATATACTTGAATTAATTTCTACAAGGCTTACCTTCTCTTCCAATTAATAGTCCCTATTTAAACAGATTTTGCAAGCATTAAAACAGTCAATATATACAAAAGTCTCCATGTTATGACTAGTATATAAGCAATCAGTGTATAGTTATTGATGTCATTTTATTTCATAATGTCCATTATTCTAAAGATACCTTTATTTGTTACTAATAATCAGCATCTTTCCTACAAAGTATAACCTATCGCTATGAGCTGCAGTGAAGATTAATCTGTTTTTTCCCAAACATTGATAACATTAATTTTACTTTTTGAAAGGGTCACACTTCACAGTTAATACTGAAGTTAAGATCCAAGATTTTAGAATGACATATAAGTGAGGAGAAATTGTGTTCTGTGGGAGGATTCATATTTTAGTTTTCTGTCATTAGAGAGTGACTCAGCTAAATATTATAAGAAACCAAACTAAACAAAAAACAGCAGAACTTTCTGTGGATCATCTTAAAACTCAATACCTTTTTCTTTCTTATCACAGGGAATGGGTACTTTTGTCTTTATTAAGATTAGGAAGGGCTGGAGAGAGCAAACTAAGCACTTACTTAGGCAAGTGCAGGGACAAGGGTTTGATCCCTCGCGCCATGGATTGCACTGGCCCCGCCCCCGGGCCTGCTGAGCCAGCCACTGTAATCCCAGTGCTGGGGAAACTGAAA